TAAATAATATCAGGAGTAAGATAATATAGATCCTATATTATCTTACTCCTGATAATATAATAATAATGTAATGATATAATACATATAATAATGATATGATTGCACAGGCAAAGTACGTGCCAATTTCATCTTGCCTTAATGCATGCCGTAACGTATTGCATAATGTAATGATGTGGTTAAAAAAAACATTTTGCATATTGACAATTTACGTACAAATTGCCTGTATATGCAGTAATTCGACCGTGCAAATTTTGCGCGAATCGTGTTGTTTCAACTAGGCGATTCTAAAATAATATTCACTATGCAAATTAAAAATAACACTCAACAATGTGAATTTAAATATAACATTCAACGATGTGAATTTAAATATAACATTCAACGATGTGAATTTAAATATAACATTTAAAGACGCTGATTCGTAAATTACGATGTGAATTTAAAATAACATTTAAAGACGCAGACTGTCCTAAACATAAAAGCATCATTAAACCGCGTGAATCTTTAACTGACACATTTTTGACTGTGCTATGCTGCATCGACGATCGCCCTTGCCATCGCCATTGTTATCTGTAGCCGAGTATTTCGCTGCAGGCGGTTGTGTTGCTGGAGAAGCTTTGAGGCGCAGTGAGGAAGATATGACCGAGTCAACTATGCGAATTTTTCAGTGAATCTGACATTATTTCAACTACGCGTATCTAAAATAACATTCAACGGTATGAATTTATAACAAACTGTTTTCGACTGCGCCACGCTGCGTCGGCCATCCCCTATAACACCCGCCGCCATGACCCCGTAGCTGAGTTTTTGCTGAAGTTTTCTAGTATTTCGCTGCTCTACCGCAGGCGGTTGTGTTGCTGGAGGGAGCATGTTATCTGTAGACCGATTATTTCACTGCAGCGCGGCTTGCTCTGGCTCGGCACCGGGCCCAGGAGGGAGCGTTGTTATCATGCTTAGCCGAGAATTTTCCGTGCAGTGCGGTTTTGCTAGCTGGAGGGAGTATTGTGTAGTCTGTAGACTGAGTATTTTTCGCTGCAGGCGGTTTGTCCTTCGCTGGACGGCGAGCTGTTTGAGCGCGCATGTGGAAGAGGAGATGACAGAGTCGTCCCCCCGTCCAGTGACGCTGCCGTCGCGCCGGCGACTGCTCGAGAACAAGAGCCCCGTCGCGCGAGCGACTGGAAGAGCTGTCAGCTGAGACCGGTGAGATGCCGTGCGGCGGGCCGACCCATCTACGCTTCGGCACGAGCGAACCCTCTACATTAGGGCGGCCGCCCTCCTACATTCACTGGCGGCGCCCTCTACATTTGCCGAGGCGGCGCCCATCTAGCATTCATCGGCCGGTGCCGTCTACAATTTACGCGCGGCGCCCCGTACATCACGATAGCATCTCCGCTGAACCAACGATCTCAGTTCATTTACCAGCGCTATTTCCAGCGCGGTTTTTCCCGCTGTTCTTGGGGAAGCTATGTCTGTTGTGTGAAATGATAGCAACACAAAATCTCTATGAGATCTACCACTTAATTACATTAATTATCTGCATTAATTACTCGCTGCTGTAAAGTAATTCCGATCGATTAGCACTGCACTGTGGGTGCGTGATCTGGTAGCAGATACCTTATATATTATATTATATATATTATATTATAATTTTTATATATATATTCTATTTATATATTTATATATATCATTTATATATTCATATATATCTACATGGTGTTGTTGAGGTGGCCGAAGTTTCTGCTATTTGTGCTTTTCTTACGCACCGTCGATCGCTTTATCTCAGGCGGGCCGTGGCAGGGAATAGGTTCAGCCGCCCACGCACGAGGTGCCGACACGGGTGCCAATGAAGAGGGCAAGAATGCGTGGAGAACTGGATGGAGAGGAGCGAGGAGGAGTGAGGATGATGGCAGAGCAGGGAGGACAGCTTTTCGACAGTAGCCCCCGCTCAGCTCGTTGACAAGACACTCCGCTGGAGCAGTGAGTGACGTGCAGCGCAAAATACGCTCGTTGAAACGAATTCGCGCGTCGCGAAAATGATTCGGGCACACGCGAAAGAGCTGCGACTGTTTTTATCGTGGGTGTATTCATTTTTCGTGTGTTTTCATATCCTGTGTATTGAGACCTTGCGTATGTTGGTAGTTAGGAAGGGTTTTTGTCTTGAGCATACTTATATTGTACCGCTATTGTATGGTTGTAATGTATTAATTGTATTTTGTATTGTAATTGTAACCGTATTGCATTAAATATGTATTGTATAAGCTATTTGTGACTTACAATACTACGAGGCATGAATACTGCGACTGAATTACGCCGTAGTATTATATATATCAAGTTTTACTGTGATATTCAGAAACCTCGTGCGCTATCCAGAGCATGCTGGGCAGGACGTATACGCCGTTCACGATCAAGACAGAACGAGGAGCAATCGAGAACAGGTGGGGCTCATGGCACAGCCGACGACGAATGACGATCGGAGATGACATTGCAGAATATGTTGATGCCTACAAATGATGGCCCAGAGTACGTTGCGCATCAGATCGGTATAGTCACGGCAATCCTAGTTTATCGGCTACAGGCGTCTCCAAACACATTAGAACGCATGATAGATTATAAGAATACATAACATCATGATTACCGTATTTACTGTGCGATAAGTCGGCATTCGTGTATTAAGCTCGCACCGCCTTGATTTTTTTATGAATTTGCACTACAAAAAGGGTGACTTGTACGGCGACTTCGTAAATACAAGTAATTTAATTACAGCGCTATATATTATTACAATTATAATCAATAAATTATGCATAAAGTCAGGAATTATAATTATCGAATGAGAGTATTCATGATCGCCGGCATTTTTTTCTGTTTCCCCGCGCGCTCCACCGCGCGGTCAGCTACGGCAGCTAATGAATCATTTTAGATTGCCGTTGCTGTGAAATTGTTCTTATTAAAGTGAACTCATGGCCGGGTTCCCCCGCTGAATGGCTCGCAGTGAGTGTGTCCAGGACTGCAGTACCTTGCAAGCTGGCTGAGGTTTCTCTGGCGTACGGTGCTGACCGTGATGTTCCATGACGTATTCCGCTTGCAGCAGAATATTACGGCGATACCGCTGTTAGTGGATGGGCAGTTGTCGACAACTGCCCGTTTCTAGTTATATATTTATCATGATTAACCTCTGGTTTCGGGGACGCATTAAGGCACGTTCACATCGCTACGTACCTTGTCTGCGCTCGGCGAGTCCTCGTCGATCAGGCTCCCGGCGAACACGCAGGCTATCTCATGCGGCTCCATCGCTCCACACTTGAGCAGCTGCAGGAAGTGCGAGTAGAGGCGGTCCCAGACGCCGAGGTCCGCCGCGTCCACGTACGCCCTGCAAACGAATGCGCGACGTCATCTCCTGATCGCAGACAGGGAAGCGATCTGCATAGGATGCCTCTTCTGCAGCCTTATAGCAGGTATCACCTGAGAGCCTCCTGCAGTCTAACCTGTGCTGCCTGAACTGTCATTGATGTTAGCTACCAACCTGTTACGCTACCTATAGCCGGACACATCCGTCTACCTGAATCGCTGCCTATTTGCGTGCCAACTTGCCTAAATGCTTGCCTGCCTGCCGGCCTGCCTGCCGGCCTGCCTGCCAGCCTGCCTGCCGGCCTGCCTGCCTGCCCACCCGCCTGCCTGCCTGCCGGCTTGCTTGCCAACCCATTCACACAAGTTATTCAACATCCACCGCACCAATCTACTGACATTCAAACGTTCTCTTTACATGGCCTCATCATAAAACACGCAGAAAATGAACGCAACCGATTTATTCGTCGCAAATTTGTATTGTCCGATTCCTTTTCATTCAAGGATCCAAGGTCTAATTCCTTTTTCTTTTCCCATTCGAGGGTGCTACGGCGACGATTAGCCACAGTTGTGTCAGGCTCACTCACCTCACGTCGAGTTCCGTGAATAGTTCGATGTCGGCTTCGAACATTCTCTCGGGGAGAAGACAGCGGCCCTCTAGCGAGCGGACGAGGAAAGGCAAGCTGGCTTCTGCCACCATGCTGGAGAGCGTCACGTCGATGGCTTCCCCCTGCCGCGTATCCAGCCATCTACGAACACGAGAAGCACGATTCACCCTGTTAGAGTGCCGTCAACGTTAACCGAGAAACTCAAATACGGACTTGAGAGATACATTCAGCAGAGTTAGCTGGGTTTACACTATCAACTTTCTTTTGATTGACAAGTTGGTAAACTTTTTAACTGATCGACCGTAAGACAGCAGTGTTATTGTAAAATTTGAGTGCTCGACAAGCTGATAGCAACTAGTTGAGAAAATTGAACATGTTCTATTTTCTCAACTTTTAGCCAGCGACTTGATCAAGTTTTTGCCACTCCGATAATAGCAATCAGGAGGTGTGTCCCTCTACCCAGGGTGAGAGCACGTTTTTGATATCGGCGCCACACTGGCGCAAATTAATACATGAAAAAATGAGTATCCGCGTCGCCTTGCGCGCACACTGCGGGTCAAATGTTGAAACGTTTGCCGACTCGCGGTCGATAAATGTAAAAACTTTGAACCTCTGATAGAACGGTTGATAGAACGTTGAAAAGTTTGTATCAACTGGTCGACTTTTCCATAATGTAAACCCAGCTTTACGCATGGTTAATGTTAACTGAGCAATTCAAATACGGACTTTTACAATAATACATTTAATCTCTGTGTCATACATTATGCGATACTTAGGATTATCGATGTTTACTGTGGCCACAGAGACGGCATACGTGTACACAAAAATCACCAAAACAACAAGCCAGTTCACTCAAGCATCCTCCTAAATCTACAGAAACCAACTGCGCTAACATGTTTCGTGCAGATATTCACACACGCGAGGATGGAATGGTACGTACGCGAGCAGTGATGTAACGTCGGCGTGGGTCGGGTTCCTTCCTCTGTACACGGTCCCGTGGTCCAGGTCCGTCGACATTAGCTCCTCCTGGATGTACTGAAGCAAAGCAAAGTAATCGTCCCAAGACGATACGTAGGCTTCACCATCCTCCGCTGCCGATTCCTTCTCCTGCCACTCAGCATCCGCTGTTGATTCCTTCTCCTGCCACTCAGCATCCGCTGTTGATTCCTTCTCCTGCCACTCTATCGTTTCGTCGACGGCTGCCAGTTGTTGCTCTTCTTCGATCAAGATGCTGCAACGTGAGAGTTTATAGCGAGTGGGGGTAAGGAAGCCCTGTTACCTGAGAGGCTGAGAGCACCAGCAATACATGTTCAACATTAATGCATCACGTGCTATTACAATTACATTACATACCATTACATTTCACATACCAATACATATTCTATTTATATTTACCATTACATGCTATACCATTACTCACGTCATAGCATATAACCTTCAATGTCTCCCATGATGATTGACAGTCAAGTTATTCGGTTCGCGTGTGTAGTCACGAAACGATATACGGTAGATCCGCGATATTACAAGTACTGCAGTAATGTGAATTTGGATGTAATGCGATCAGGAGTGTATAATATAGATCTCTATTATACACTCCTGATGCGATCACATGGTTTCATCCCCTCTTTTCCCTCGTTATTTTTACATGATTTTATACGCATTTGATATTTTAGGTTTTATTTTATTCACTTGGTCGGAGCAGCATGAACAGCATAATTTTATTCACAAACAGACCAGTATACTCGACTAACAGGAAAAAACCCGCCATACCAAGACCCCGCATATTACGCGATCCGAGTTCTTGGAACCCTGTTTATTGCATTATAACGAGGTTCCGCTGTATATATGCGTACCTTTCCGGACTGTCGTACAGCTCATCTGAAAGCGACGATCGTGGCTCGTGCTCCGAGAAGACCTTTTGAGAGTCGCCTTTCGACTCGTGATCTGCCGGTTTATCGACGACCTTCTCTTCCTCGGACGAAGAGGAAATCACTCGGCTGCGCGTCACGATGCCGCTCTGGCTTCCTTCCTCGCCTCCTCTCGCAGGAGGATCCACGATGGGAGAGAGGTCCGTCGATCCCGCGTGCTTCAGTTTCTTCCTGCGCGGAGTAGGAACGGGAGGCCGTGAGTCCTCGGAACTGACGCCGTCGTCCCCGAAGGAAGCATCTACGACGGGTTCCTCCGTCTCTCGTCCGAGAAGGGGAAGCTCTCTCGCCGCCAGACCCTCCTCCGCCTCCTCGCTCCGCGGACGTTCTCCGACGGAGGAAGATGCTCGCTTGTCGACGCCCTGCGCAGCCTGCGCGACGTCGGGACGCGCACCCCTCTCGCCGTCGCCGTCAGAGCTCCTCTCTCCCACGCTGCTTCCCCGCGGTGGCGGCGGACGGGATGGCTTCCTCTGTACCACTCCTCCTCCTCCTCTTCCTCCTCCTTTATTCCTCTGTGGCTCTGTGCTGTGTGTGGGGATGCTGACTTCTGACAGAGGACTCTGAGCTCTGATTGCGCGCTGACTGGCTTCTTTGGAGAGGCCGACCTCCGACCGGGGAGGCCGGGGGTCGTTGTTCGAGGACGCGCGGGTGGGAGACAGGAGCGCGGGGGGCGGCGGCCGACCAGGGGGCGCTGTCTTACGTCGTCGCGGCGTGCTCTCCTGCGAACCGGCCCCGGAAGAAGACGCAGGACTCGCGCACTTCCCCGTGGAGGAGAGAGGGAGACTGCCTCTCCCCGGCTCCTCGCGCGGCAATGAGGGGAGAGGTGGCGTCGCACTGTCACGCCCCGCATTAGCGTGGTGATCGGGGCATCTCGCTGCCTCGTCCATGATCATGCGTCGAATTCCGTCGTCGACCGATTCTAGGGAATCTCGCGAGCGATCGGCCGCGCCTCGCGGTGGCGCCACCGTTGCGTTCGGCAGCGGCGGACGCGGAGGCTTCTGCGATGACCCGCCCCCGCCACTCCCGTCGGCTCTGCGGATCCCCGAACGAGATTCCCCTTCCTGAGGATCAAATCTACCGTCTGGTGCATCGGACGGGCGCGTGGGGAGGTCGGGAGCGCCGCCAGAGGGCGCCACACCGGCGACGATCAGTCCGAGGATTTCGGACAGCCGCTCGGTGATGCTGGGGGTCGACGTGAAGGTCGCGTCGGACACCGTCGTCAGGTTGCTGTTAGAGAGGCTCATGTCGGACGCGAGGTGGGAGACCGCTGCGGCTGCTGCTGCTGCCGCACTCTCCCCTCGCGCCGCCCCCGCCCCCGCGCTCTCCCTCCGAACCGCCGCCCCTGCGCTCTCTCTCCACGCTGCCGCCCCTGCGCTCTCTCGCCGCACTGCCGCCGCCGCACTCTCCCGCCGCACCGCTGTCTCTGCCGCACTCTCCCGCCGCACCGCTGCTGTCATTGCAGCGCGTCCGCCCGGCTCTGCGTCGACCTCGCTGCGTCGCCGTACGACCTCTCGCGACCTCAGCGGAGTGCTGCTGTCGACGGGACCCCCCGCCACCGCCGCTCCGCCTGGCCTCCGTCGCCGCGGCGGACTCTCCTCGTCGATGGAGACGGCGCGCGGACGTCCGGGGTCGGAGGGAGGCGCGCGATCGAGGGAGGAGGGCGGCGCGTCGGGGGAGAACCCCGCAGACGCCGCCACGCCGTACGGGTACACGACGATGCAGGGCGGAGGAAACCCCGCTCCCGCCGCCGCCGGAGGAGAGAAGGGGAAGGGCGGTGGGTGCATCGCCGTCCCTGCCGCTGGAGAGAAGGAGAATGGCGGTGCAGCAGCAGCGGCAAGCGGTCCCCACGCAGTGGCAGCAGCTTCGCGGGCCGTCTGTGTGGCTCTCGATTCCGACGCGTACGACGACGACGTGTCGAGACTAGCGGGCGAGATGCGGTGCGGATGGACGGAGGCGGCGTGGCTGCGCGCGGACGCACCCGGCGGCGGGGACTCGAAGTGAGTGTTCAGGTCGCTGGAGTGCAGGGTGGAGAAGGCGAGGCTCGCGTTGTTCATGTCCGCTCCGAAGGCGGCAGCGGGCGGCGCGAACATACCGCGTGGGATCGCAGGCTCTGCCGGTCGCTCGTCGTGCTGAGAAAACACAAGTTGTTGATTTAGCAGCGTCATTCTTAGCAGATTCATTTTCATGCTATACAAATATGGATGTCTTTGAGTTTGACTATTATTATCACCCAGCATAGAACATTGTCGAAATAACATTCATAAATGTCTATTTGTTACTTTAATTATTAAACAGTTCCTCATTTGATGATTACTTATAAATCATGTAAAATATATATATATATATATATGTATAATACTATATATATAGATGTTTGCTCACAGCTGTTTGTTGCTCGTAGTAAGCCTTCAATTTCTCTATCCACTTTGGATACAAGCATTCCAACTGTTCCTCATACTGCTTCTGTAAATGAGATAATTATTTCACATGACATAGAGTTCTGATTGATATCGCGAGTGTCACATCTATATAATCAGGAGTAGATAATAGAATTATTACCTACTATTATCTACTCCTGATATAATGTTATACATTAATAAACAAAACAATGGTAGTACCCAATCGATTCTCTCGCTCTCTCTCTCTCTTTCACCAATATTGTAGATTCAGATCGCTGTGATGCACCTTACAATTTATATTTAACACTATTAAGACTTTTTCTCCATGACCACGAAAACTGTCTTCAGTACATGTACTTTGTATTTGAATTACATTCAATAAATATTTAATAATCAAATAAATTTTAATACATAAATATGCATCCACATGCGACCTTTGACGTTTGCGCACAACCTTTGATGCCCGCACGCAATCTTTGCACCCGCGCGACCTTTGACGCCGCGCCACGACCTTTGATGCTTCCACCTTTGATGTCCGCGCGCAACCTATAACGCCCGCGCGTGACCTTTGACGCCCGTGCGCGACCTTTGATGCCCGACCTTTGATGCTTCCGCGCGTGACCTTTGACCCGTACCTTCAGCAGACGTAGACGGTCGGTTCGCGCGGCAAGCACGTTTAGCTCGGACTCGACTCGGTCGAAATCCCGCAGCAGCTGCTCGTTGTAGGCGCGACTCTTTCTCTCATCGTCGCACAGCTTGTTCCAGTACGCACGCAGCTTCTCTGCTCTCAACTTTGCACTGTAAGATAAGATAAGACATAACAGTTTTATTTATCGCTTTCAACATTAGTAATTACAGGGATTTTAACAAAAATAAATGAGCAATACAGTGAAGGGATGACGAAAAGACCATACGGTCATCCAGTCTGGGTCTATGTACTACAGCTATGTTGTTAATATCGTTAATTAAGAATTTTTGCCTTTACAGCCTGTAAACAGAAAAACAAAAATGACACAGAAAGGGTGGCATTTGTCCTCTAATTTTTCACTTGTCATGTTTTTGTCCCATGTTTTTACCGTCGAGCCATCTTTTTACCTCCGCCAAGAAGGTTGTTTTCGCCCCTGTTAGTTTGTTGGTTGGTTTGTTGGTTTGTCGGTCAACAGGATATCTCAAAATGTTACGGACGGATTTTGATGAAATTTTTTGGATGAGTTGGTCTTGGGCCAACAACCAATCGATGAGATTTTGGTGGCGATCCGGATCTGTGCAGAAATGGGTCCATGAATTTTTTGAAGGATTTCTCATCATTGATGGTAGTGTAGCTGTTTACTCTCTAACCGCTTCGCTTCGTTTCGCTTTCTCTCTCTCGATCGATAGCTATATATAGATATATGTGCCGTGCATGCTGTCAATGCAGAGTCAAACAACTATAGTTATAGAGAGAACAATAGTCGTAGAACAACGATATTGGGAATTTTGATGTACCAGCAAAATGGGGGACTGTTACGCTGTGGCGGAGGTTTGCTATCTCCGATTGCTCTTGTTGCCGCATGTTTTCAATATCGAGCCATCTTTTTGCCCTCAATTTTCCCACTAGATATACTACTCTTGTATTGGGTTACAATATTGTGAAATTGTATCTACCCTGGCAGTACCCACGATAATCATATTCATGAATCTAGTCATTATCAGATTACATCATGATCTATTGATCATTGATTGATTACGCAGTAAAACGGTTATCTTTCATAACCTTTGCCTTTGGATTGTCAAACTTGTTTATTTTGTTATTAGAGTATTGCTGAGTATAGTACTATAGCCCGTGTACAGTTGCCGCAGCAGGCCCGTAGCCAGCTTTATATTGGGGGGGGGGGTTCGTTTTTCAATGTTGGCAATTTGCTCGGCAGGGGCGTGTACAGGATTTGTACCAGGGGGAGGGGGTCTAACC